GCCTTACGTGTGTAACGACGTTATTGACAGTGATTGTAATACAGAACTTTCGTAGGCTAATTAAACGACAACCACTTTTTTTATCATAATACACATAAAATAGATATGTCTTAAGCTCTAGGTATTCTAATTGAAGCGCAACCCGAACTCAGATATACATGAACACAACCGTTAACTTCAATAAAATACTATGATTAAAAGCCACAGCGTACATTTGATAAGATAGCAATACGTTTATAAATTAGTTGTTTTAACATACCTGCTTAGTACAGCCATTCGCCTGTTAGAGTTCAAATGACCGATTTCTGTTGAAATGAGATCTGGTATACCGTGTTGAGGAAAAGTACGAATGTTATAGATAGCTGAACTATGAAGACATGTTGAGCAAAGCAGCTTGTTGTTTAAGATTGGTTTCATGCTTAAGTGATAGGCAGACGAACGTTTATTGATCGATTATTACCTGTTTTAGAAAAGAATGAAGAAGGCGCTAATATGTGAAGAGAGATGGTGGTAATGAATAGTTTCGTGTGTGGGTTTTTTCAGCAGTACGACTTATTACAATTTACTATGAAATCAGTAGTTAGCAACATAATAATTTGAAAGACATTCCGACTTGCATAAACGTGAATATGTCTGTAGAACGCCTGACTCCTTCGTAATACATTGGTGTAATAGGGAGTGTAAATCGACTTTTTGAGTCCTGATGTGTCCACTGAATTCTATCAGTGAACTGATTTGCTCGTATTAAATGACAAATAAAATGTTCACGTGTTGTATGGAGGTATTTTGGAGGCCATTATAAGATTATTTTCCCATGTTCGTATTTATGCTTGCGGAATTCCCCCCGTGTTAGGTTCTGTGTGAAGACAACTAGTTGTTTTCACTTGATTGTAATGTTACTATCTTTGTAGATTCACCACGTAATTCGGTTCGCGTAATATTAGAAGCATTCATTTTGTCTGTGATATTAGCTTTCAGTCTTTCACTTGCTATCAAATAGTTCGTTAATAAATGTATATAATGTGTATGTATTCCCAATTTTAACTCTGAGGTCAATATAAATGTTTTAAAAAGCTCGTCCGAAAAGAATGAAGGTAAGTGTTCGTTCTTCTCATGAAATAGCTAGAGAATGGAAAGCGTTACTCCGTGGATTAATGTCAGACCCATCGGTGAACAGCTTCAAGAGGAAAGTGGATCTTCACTGCAAAATATGGTCTGAAGGCTAACACAATTCAGCCGATCGCTTGTTCTTATTGCAGAAGGCTGATATCACAAAATGTCATGTTTGCATAAACAAAGTGACCATATTCTGTTCAGTCCATAGCTTCAAGAACAGATTTGATAAACACGTACTCACACATGAGTTACTTACTATCTAGCGTTTGAACGAGCTACACCTGGTGCATATCTCGCAACATACCTACTATTATCTTTATGACATACCAAAAATCTATTCCCAGCCGTCTTATTATAATCTTTGTCTTCCCTTTGGTCCTTACACTTTGATCTGCTCATCTTGCCTGAATGACAAATTAATTAACCTCGTCGCTTTAACCTCTGGAAGTCTTCGCTTACATATTTGAATTTTGTGTTTATTATTGTCATATTGCAATCATCCAACTTTCTACTTGATAATGTGATAGAGACTGGTTCTAGTAACCCTATTGTCTTGATATGGATACACTCACGCTGATTACAAGATGAAAAACCCATAAATAACTGCCACTGTGATCACAACTAGTGAATTTCAGTAGATATACTATCATCCATTCAACATTGTCAAAGATATGAAACATAATTGAGAATAAAGCAATCAATTAGTTTGTACAAGTTTGTCACAAATTACTGGATATTGGAACTCAAAAATTTCATGTTTCACTTTCAAAGTTGTACGTAACTAATCTAGTTTTCAAGTATTGGGCGTTTGTTTTTTGTATGGTTACTTGTTTTTGGTGAGATTAAGTTTCACTGTCAAAAAGACGTCAAACGTAAATTCTGACCCTGGACGCCCATACTTTTCCTTACCTTACACGCTGTTGTGTGAATCCGCCACATATTTCTGACATTTCCCCGAGCTCCCAATGTCGGGGAAAATTTGACTCATTTCGGGGAAGCCGCTACAGTAAACTTTGGGGAAATGGCACTAAAGCCACAAAATTTCCCCAGACCTGGGGAAATTCCGATCGGTACTCACAATCGAATGCTTCATAACCCATTGTCTATAAAATGTCTCAGAAACACTACCTCTCATTCGCTTTCGGGTTTCTCCATCGATTGATCGAGGACTTTGTTCATCCCATATGGGATGAACAGGGTTTTTACTAGCTCAAAAATGGCTTTAAACTTACTCCATTCGTCTTTAGTCAACTCATTTACGTTGATAGGAAAATTTTTGCAACAGCGTAATTTCTGACTGCTGGAATGCTAGCTTCTCAAATATTGGGACAATATAGAGCAGGTGTATGCTATATATTACGTGCCCGAAACCTAAATTAATACTGGGTCATCACTGCTAGTCGGTGGAGGTAGGTTCTGATTGTTGGTAGCGTCGTCATAATGGCGTGTGAAGACAAGGCTTTACGACTATGGTCCATGTTATAAGTCGATTTTGCAATACATTGTACAAGTAACCATCAAATATTTGCTAACAGTAGACTGCCGTCTGATGTTGTAAACTCTAAACAATTGGTGCATGGTGCTTGGAATTCCACAAAGGTGAGACGACACTTGACCTTACTCCATGTGCAGATGAGACTTCCAACAAAGTTGTCAGCATGCCAAGCTGGACTATGGTTTACACTTGATTGTACGCAAAAAGTAGTCTCCAGAACAATATTGTACCCTCTCGTACGATTTATAACCCTGCCACTTATTGTACAGACTTGTCCTGCAACAATTGGTGAATACTCTACATCTGTCATGAGCCATGTTTCTGTGACAATATCTGTGCTGTTAATTAACTATCCCACCATTAAACTTAGCTCGAACGTTTTGTTTCTGAGACGACGAGCGTTTGTGTAGCTTAGTGTCTAAGGGGGGGTCTTGAAATCATTGGCTCCTAAGACTTCACTACCCGTAAACTCTAAATTCCAATGTTGGTTTGTCCATTTCGCGTTCGAGGTTTTAACTCAGTAAGATCATTCCTCCATTTCATTTAATTTTAGTGAGTAATCTGGCTGGACGTAGATGTCCGAATTACAATTTTTCGGACGTTATTTGGTATAATGTCTCTTTCCTCATTATTTCTGAGTACTAACTTTAAAATGCTCTTCGGTTGGGTCTCGCCTACACCCCACTTGTCGAGTTCTGTTGCTTAAAGAGTACGTACCCCCAAAGGCTCGGCAGTAAATTTTGGATATCAGATTTTACTACAGATCTTGTGAATGCCGTTTAGCAGAATCATCGTCATTTGGCTCCATATTCTAAGTAATTTAACTAGTGACGGATATAACTTCCTTCAAAGTCGTGTTCATGGCTTTTGTCTGTCGTTATTTTCCCTTTCCCACTAACTAACGAAAATTTTCTTTAATCGTTCTTGTCGTCTTAACTTTCCGTATAATTCATTCATTTACGTTACCTAATTTGTCGTGTGAGGATTTTGCTCCATGCACATCATACACTCGCATTCATCTCATTAAAAGTGTTTAGAGTAGGTGCATTTTCGATGGATAATAGATTCTTAGTTCTGATGAAGCAAGACGTTTTACGATTATGCGTAACAATAATAATGACAGGAGTTTCTTCTCTTCAAGCGTATTGACAATGGAAGTCTCAACCATTCTATCTAAAGTAAGAGCTAGGTTGATGACACTAGCGATCACACTCATAGTCTCCTCGTCCAACGTCAGATTCTTCGAGGAGGCATCGTCATTTCGAAATTTCTTTATCAAGATGAGAAGTTGCATGAATTCATTTGGGAGAATCACCTTAGGTATCATTTTTCACTTAACCAGGTTGAAAGTGGTTTTGAGCGAAGTTTACACGTGGCCGGTGATAGATTGGCACGGACTTTATGGGACCATCTTTTACGACATTTTACTGCACGCCATCTTCAACATATCGATAGCTTTGAATGAACATTTTGACGGGTATGATAAGACGGGAAAAAGCTTGAAAAACACAACGAAAAGTGGAAAACAATTACCATTACCAGAGTAACCCGAAATGTACCGAAACGGCAGTTAAGTCAACATTGTCGAAAGTATTACCAAACCTAACTCTAGGTAATTATGAATATACAGGTATGTATAAAAAATAAGTCAACTAGTAAAAGCCGAAGTGATTAGCGTGTAGAAATGTATTTCGCAAATATATTCCTCAAAGTGGTAAAAACAAGTTCTAATTTAAGCTTTTGTTATGATTAGCGCAACGAAAGTTGAATATCTCAAAACGTGGAAAAATGCAGTCTTTTTTTCAACTCAATGGAGAACTACCAATGTAGACCGTAGATAATAGAGATGATTGTTTTTTGGCAGATGAACGACTAACATTGTTTTTTTCTGTTGTTTTATACTCTCGTATGCTCATTATGACTAGGCGATTCATGTGTACACTAATTGCCAAACTGTGCTTAGTGCTGTTCACAGTGAAGACTACGTATTAATGAATTACTGCAAACCTTAGTTATTACACTGCAATCCTCATCTTCGTCTGAATATTCGCTACAAATTATCAAATGAATGAATCTCAGTCTAAAGTAGTCGGAAACAACAATCTGAACCCTTGGGTGAAAATGCATTGATTTCAGTTCTGACAGCTCAGATCAGAAAATATCAACATGCCTATTAACGGCAAGGTTGCTATTATGACGTTTTCCTGACTAAACTAAGCCAGTAAGCCAAATTTTCTCACAATCATTTGTTTGGCTGACCAGTGTTATCAACCTTCGCACAATATATATTGTTGCATTTATTTCTATTTTTAACAAATTTCCGAATTAGATTCATCCAATTGTTTGGTTCGTTCCTAATGAATCGCAAACAATGAATGTCTGACGGATAATGGATTTGTCTCACATGTCGTATGTGCTTGATTCATGATTGGTTTGCTTATGATCAGACATCGTGCCCGACGTGCTTTTCTTAAGAAGCTAAAAAGAAAGCGTAAACGTCAAAAATTAGCCAAGGAAAATATCGAGAGGGAGATCGAAGGTATACTACGTTTTTTATTTCTTTACGTTATTTCAGAGCTAAGTCGGCTCCAACTTTCTCCATCTTATCAAGCACAACAGGCTAAGGAGTTGGAGTTAGCCGCACTTGAAGCCAAAGAGCGGTACAATTTGAACTATAATGTAACTTTTTATAGTGAGCGTAATGAGGAACTTTGGCAAGAACGTGAGAGGGAGGCACAACGTCAGTGGGAAGAAAATAATCGTCAAAAAATCCTCTTAAAGCAACGCGAGGAGGAAACTCAGGTATAAGCATATCGACTTTTATTAATAGCTCTTTTTTATCACGCACTAGTGTATATAATATATGAAATCTACTATTATTGTGACCTATTTCTATATTTTCATAATATATTCAACTTGTTAAATTATCTTAATACAAGTACATATATATTTCAGCGTTCATGTATATAATAGATGCTAAAATGTTAGGAGGCTCGGGGAGTGGGGAGTCCTACTCACTGCCTTCTCGTGGCGGGGGTGTTGTTTGCGAAGATGAGAGGACGAAAAGCGAATGTCCGGCGCTTTAACCGGATTCCAAACCAATGGTGCACATGGGCTCCAGTATCCTGCGGGAACAAATGATGTATGAACCAATTGTTGGTCACCGGCTTTCATGGGAATGCATCTCCTTACAATGCTCCACTGCCTTGTGGATCAGACCTTCAGGTCGAAGGCTCGGGGTGTGGCCCCCTAAGAAAACCACCTGCTTCAGTTTGGGCACCCGGGCAGTATCACAGCCCTCACACATATCGAATGAGATTTGTGTGGCGCATATGTATTTGGTGCCTCCTTGTACCAATGTCTATGTGTTAAAATAAATAAATAATAAAAATGTTAGGAGATTGTCCTTCGAAATTTGTGTATTCATCATTCCAACTCTTATTTGGTTAAGCTAGATGTATATTATGACCATAATTATTTTATTTCCATGTTTTGCACTGTTAGTCTAGTGTTATACTTCAGATCGATTGGGCAAGGTTTTGGTATAGATCTCAAAACAAATAAATGAAGAGTTTGCGATTATAATATGCTCAATATTTAAAGGAAGTTAACAACTAGAATACTCCTATGTCGCTGAAGTTAGTTTTGAGCGATGCTAACTGCGTTTTACAATTATAGATTACAATTATCTTTTGAATCCTAACCTAGACATCCACACCACATCACAGTTGTCTGTCAGTCGATGAGTCATTGTCTTATTTGCACCATTCATTACAGTTTTACGATCCACTGTTTTGTCGGTCAGCATCATACGTTTGGGTAGCCTATAATTATGTGTACGTACGACCACCTCAGAAGAATATTGTTCACAGCCAGACATTAACTGGTTTGGATGGCGGCTCAGTAGTCTAGAGGTTAAGCGTCCGCATGCAACATCTGAGGTCCTGCGTTCGATTTCCGCGTGCAGGGTCTTCAGTACGCAGTGCTGAGGAGTCCCATACTAGAACGGAACAGCCGTCCAGTTCTTCCAGGTCTTAGTGGTGGTCTAACATTAATCGGTTCATGATTTCAATGGCATTAGAATTTCGTCTATCCCAGTTGGGAGTCTCAGATGGCTAAATCCCACAGGGATTTTGTATCCATGCTGAGATTTTGTTAGCCATCAGCTCATCGGGGTTGGTGAGATTTCTTTTTTAAGTTAATTGGTTAGTAGTTAAACCTTTCATTTATTGCTGGAGTAAACTGAGTCAAAATCACCTTCCACAAATTGTTATTTGCACCGTACCTCAATTATATTCAGACAGCCAAGTAGTATTTAAAGCCTAGGTCACAATGTATCCATGAAGCTGTATGTTAATGAATTTCACTTTCTATCACAAGGGTAATCTAACATTTGTTAGCCATATTGTAATTAACATTAAGTGTTAGTTATAAATCAGTTTTATTAGTTTAGAATGAAAATTAATTGTACCCTCTTACTTAACTGGACATGAACGATCTTAGTTATGCCTTTCCACTCGAGTTATCGCTCCAGTTAAACTTTAACTGTATGTCAGGGACTTTTAATTACTTGTAGCTTCACTAAAAAGCATGTATTGGTTTTGGAAAAAGTTTTAATTCCTTATTTTTATCAAACTGGTTTAACTGAAATTTGTAAGTCATATTCAGAACGGACCAGTCTTTCAGTTCAGGCGTCTCGGATTTTATGCGCTTTTACCACTTCTTATGGAAAGCTTTACCGCGAACTTTAACGTAGCTAATCAATTCACCGTCAGTATTCTGAAAATAAAACTTTTCATAGCAATCTGTTGAATACGTCGTAAGTGACTAGGAGATCCAAATCTAGTTTTCCTTTCAAGAAAACTATTATATTGAGTGAGTGATTATCGTGTTACCTTGGAAAAAGTTTTACCACCTATAATCGTTGCAATACAATCAGTAAATTATGTTTCGTCGTATATGATTCATAGTCGAAATTATGGTGTTTTGTGGATAAAAACGGTTTTTTGTTATTCTAGGCAGGAACAGGAAGTAATTTATTGACTCGTAAAGTTTGGGTAAATTGATTTAGCGTATAGTAATTAATAATTTTAGTAGTTTATAGACTGCTTATTACTATCCTGACCATAGCTGTTACCGTGACATGATGGCCAAGTTTGCCCATTGTAATGACCAAATCGAGTTATAATGGTTGAAACGATTGTTCCTTTAGGCCGTTCCATACCAGGGAGGTTAGTTGAAGGTAAGAGTAAAAACGGAAACTTAAGGTCTGCGGGCAAAGTGGTACTGCTGATTGTACAGAGGTGTGACACCCAGCATCTGCAGCGATTCTGCCTTCTCACGAAGGAAGGAAAGGGTTAGAAATGGCCAACCTCGAAAATGTTGCACCCCACTTTATCCTACGGATTTCCGTCTCCGAAAGTAAAACCTCTTGAAGTGACGGAACTGAATCATAAAATGGTCATGTTTGACTGGCCCCAAGCAGTTTCCCACTGTGCTCTGTGGTCGCTTCTGATCCAGTTTCCTTTTCAGGTTTCTCGAGAAAAAATATACTTCCACTGCACTTGGAACTTGGCGACCGCCCTCCAACAATACCCGAAATTACCTTGTTTATGGCTGACTTATTTTGTGTGATTTGTGCTGGTATTGAACGGTTCTCTGGTTCTGTGTAAAATACAGCACATCACTAGTAGCTCCTCAGGATACATTTATTTCATATTGCTTCTATTTGGGATTATCACGACTTGAAATGAGTTGTGTTAGTTACAAAATCGTTACAGTGTTTTCTGCTTTCTATCAATTATCATAAATCGATTCTTCATCTCGATCCCCTTGTATGTAACAAAGGGATACATGTGTGTTATGTAAAATCTCCCGAATCCCCACTTCTACAAGAGCCCATAATCTGATTTTGGCGAACATCATTATGCAGTAATAGTTAGTCAATTGAAGAAAATGTAAATTACTGTCGTTTGTTTTTATTAGAGCTGATCATTTTTAATAGAGTTTGGTAGTATCCTTTATCGTCAGAGTTGGTACTGGTTAGTGTGTACTACTCAGACGTGCGTCTAACAACCTATTTGCTGTTCGACGAAAACGATAATCTAATTAATATACTTTGGTTTTAGCCATACATTTCGTGTGAGATCTAATGATGTGTACTAAACGACTGCTTGAGTTAAATTTAACTTCTTTCAGTACGAAGCGTGCATTAATCATAATTATTTTAATAAAAATGTGATTGTGTCAATTTATCAGTTTACAGATATATTTGTTTGCTATATAGTATATTGCTTTTTTTCTTTCTAGCGTAAAATTAAAGCAGAGTGGGAAAGCAAACAAATGGAATCCAAGAAATTTATTCCTGAGTCAAAAACACAGGTTTTCCATGGAGTTCTTATGGTTATCATTCTTTTTTATTCACAAGAATATTAACGTATCCTCTCTCATTGTTTCACGATGATGAAATATCATAATTACTTTGTTATTTTTATCAGTTCATCAGGTGTTTTTTTCCTAGATATGAACTTAGTGAAACTTGCATTTTTCATGGAAAATGCTAACAATGTGTACTTTACTTGAAATACGTTTATCCATAAGTTGTTCATATTACTTATCCAAAATTGATAGTTAGTGGATTGCCTTTATATAAAATCGTATTTCTCTGCTTTTAAACTTCAACTGATTAAGTCATTAGTCATGTATTCTGAAAATTCCAGTGTTAGTGTCAACTGTCACTTCACGATTGCATAATATTACTCTGTGAGCTTGATATGACTCTTGTTTGGAAAGATTTTATTTTCTGGGTAATAACCATTTTACGATAACAGATTGTCAATCGGGACGTGAATTTAGGTTAGTATTATCTAATACAAGTTTTCTTAACACTCAGTTACCTTAGTGTTCTAAGGCTTTCTCTGGTTAGGATCCGATTCAATTTACTAGTGACAACCATACACCTGAACACTCATGACTTGGAAATGCATGTACTAAAATGAGGAGAGCAGACATACACTTTTATTGATCTCAGGAATAAGACGACTGTTGTAAAGTGAGCACCCGTGATAAAAATGGCTAGAAAGGTTGTTTCCGTGTATACTTTAATATATATATATATATATATATATATATATATATATATATATATATAGCTTTTGGTGTTTGTCTTGTTACCGAAAAATTTTCTTAACATACAACCTTAGTCATGAATAAAGGGAAGTATTTGTTTTATTGGATAAACATATTAATAATTCGAATAATAAAATTTGTAATCCAAATGGGTTCGACTGGTTCTGGTTGGAGGCTGTACGTCCCGGGGTTTGGAGTAAAGTTCAACTATGCTCCAACTGTTACATTGAGTTACTGTCGTCATTAAATATTCACTGATAAATAAAGTACGTGGATTCCGACATAGAACTTATTAGTTACTTTGTATTTTGTTGAACACGAAGCTTTTTTCTAAGTATCCTTTGATAATACTTCGTTATATTGATCAGACGGATATATTATTACTTTCTTGTCATAGTTAATAACAAAATATTTTTATGTTGTTCTTGTAGTCATCTTTAGAATAACCTGTAAAGAGATCCTAGTTCCTAAATTTGCACTGAACATGACATCACGATATTTTCAATTAATCTTGTTTGGTTTGATCAAGATTTCTAGAAAATCCGCAACATGAACAGTTATATAATTGTTATACACTGCACTTATTTCTGGTACAATTTCAGAAATAAAACTTTTATTATTTTATCATCACATTCTCGTTTAGTACTAGTCACAATAGTACTTTGTGAGTTATTTTGTAACAATTACCTTAGCAAATATCGTCTTTCTGAACGAATAGTTTGAGGTTGATAAGCTACTGAGAGCGAAGAAATAAACTAGACGTCATGAATGAAAACATACAATATTGTGATGTGTATTTGCAAATCTAAGCATGATACTTAATGTGAGGTGTTTATACATCATGTTGATTACTTAACTTTTACGCATTTATAGAAATATTGGTTTCGTTTCTTAGGATGTTCATGAACAGCAGTCTCCAGACCTTCCACCTTGGCATCTTCCCCCACCACCCGTACCTATCCCTACAGTAATTGAGCAAGTGCCATATGGTCCCACTGTTTCTACAGCGACGGAAAAATGTAGCTTTTTCCGTAAAACAGGAGCATGTCGATATGGTTTTCTGTGAGTGACATCTGTTTATGCGTGACTTGTAGTCCGTGGTATATCTCTATTCATAGTACACTGTCGTCATTTTCATAAATACTTTTGATTTTTTAATAATAATGGTTATCGAACACATCATCACTTGATTGATACTGATTTTGTTATGCTTGTAAGACATTTATATATGACCATGATGAAATGTACTACCGGTGGCCTACATATGCGTATACATAAAGGCTGATCGCGTTAGTCAGTAAACTTTCTCACTCTCAGTCCTTTCATTCGACTACCCGATTGGACTCGCGCATAGGAAGATTGTGTTTCAACTCTCGGACACCACATATCACTATAATAATTGCAAAAAGTATTACTTCTCTCCATTCATTTTTTTTAGGAAAAATGAATATCTAAATAAGAATTTTTACTTCACTAAAATAAGCTTTTTAATGTTGTTTTTTAAAATATTCAAATGACTAGTGCAGAACATGTGCTTGAATCAAGTTGTACTTGCCGTCGCGTGAGGGGAATATTAATATTATTGGATAAACAGTCCAGATTTTGTGAACAGAGATCACCTTATGTATGAATTAGAATGAAGGGTTAAGCAAGATCATAGATTGATTAAAACTAGAAATTGACACTTCTGGATGTTGGCTCAGTAGTCTAGAGGTTAAGTGTTCGCGCGCCAAATCGAAGGTTTTGTGTTCGGGTTTCTGGTGTGGGATTGTGAATGTGCACTGCTGTGGAGTCCCATACTAAGACGAAACGGTCGTTTAGTTCTTTTGGGTTTTCAATGGTGGTCTATCTGAGATCGACTCATGATTTCAACTGTGAAAATGCTATAAACACCACAAATCCCCATGCTAATAGAAAATAAAATGAGTTAACTATTTCAAAGGTGTAGGAACAGAACGGAAGTTCACCCCTGTCATATTGAACGGAATTTATAGCTAATTGTTTCAAATATATCTACCTGAAGCAATATTGTGCTGGAAAATATAACCCCAATATCATAATGAATAAAATGTCACACTGAAAACAAAACATGCCTGTTATGGCTCAAAGAGACAGCCGATTATATGACAGTGACTTATCGATCGGATCAAGGATTCAGAATCTCGATAGTCTATTCTGGTCCGTTGTCCCCAACTCTGCTAACTCGATCAAGAAGTCTTGGTAAGGCGTAGAAAGTGTATTCTACAGACAACAGCAGATAACAAGTCAGGCAGATCAGATCAAGCATACAAGTCAAGCGTATTTATACAAATATTTACAATCGATATTGTCATGGAAGATTTTTGAACATTAATCAACAATTGACTGCTATTTGAACATTTAATCGATAGTTCATCAATTGACCTATTTGAACATTTAATCGATAGTTCATCAATTGACCTATCTGCATATTTAACCGATAAGTAAATTACAAAATTTGAGTTTTGGGGATCTATCGTCCCCAACAATGCCATAAAATGTTACACCGAGTTGAATAAAGCGTTAACTCAACTTATTCTGATTTATCAAAAGGGAAAGAAGATATATATGTAATGAGCAAGAACACAGATGAGGGCAACCAAATGTTCTTGTTAAAATGAACTATACATCCAGTACTTCATTTACAAATCCTGAATCAAATGTCTCAAACTTCATCATTCATTCATTACCATAACAATTACTCTCTGTCCCCATTCTTTTTTATTCGATCTTCCCAACCTTCTTTTGCCAGGCCTTCTACTCCTAATTGGTGTTATGTACTACTTATGTCGACATGCATAAGTAGCATACACCTCGTATACACTACGCGTATGATGACATCATATTATAAAAAGGATGATTATATTTTAAATGAATGTTAGAGGCTCGCCATTGTAAAGAAAGTAGTTGTACATGCCTCTTTTTGGTTGCAGAACTTTGTTTTAAAAAGTTATCAAAGATGTTTCTGTTGCCATTTACTAAATTTAGAGTTTATCCGTTCTCAACAGATTACTGTTAACATGTCAGATTATTGAAAAGGACTAAATTGTGTGTATTGGACTAGATAGGCTGAAATAAATGTGTTAATAGTCATCATCACACCTTTTTTCAGTGATTATGATAGATAATAAATGAATGAAGTTATGTGTTCTCTTAACATCCAGAATATCAACACAGCATGTTCACCCAACTGTCGAGTCCCAGATAGGATGAAACTCTCAATCTGGATTCTGTTGCTAGCCATATTTCATTTACTATGTTATCAAATATTTCTTTTCTATAACATTCAGAATATCGATCTCTCTTGCAACACATTTGTGGGTTCTTTTTCTCTAATATTGAGCATACTGTTTACTATTCGTTCATGTTTATTTATATTACTCATTCAAGTTGTTACAAATCAATGCCAAGAATGGTTATACTTTGTTTTTTCCTCTCTTCACTCATTAATTGTAGTTGTTCTCGTCTTCATCAATATCCAAGTCCATATGACGATACTATTGAATCGTTCAATATTGCTGATGATCAAGATGTTGGTGGCTTAGACGAACCAATAGATAATTCTTGTTTAGTTTTACAAATTCCTAAAATGTTCACACACTATCATTTAGATTTAACAAAAAATACCAGTTCAGAGGATCAAGGTTTGTGATTTCATTGCTTACTGAAGGCAAATTTTTCTTTGTTAAAAAATGTTGAATTTACTCGTTTGCACACAAAACTGAAAGCCGTTGGTTTCGTCTTCTATGACAGAGTCGTGGATGCTCACTGTTGGGGAGTTCGAGGACGATAGGGCTATCTAGTACTTCTAGATTTCCAACAATCTTTTGACTTTGGTCGATTCGTGATTTCAAAAGGACTCCACAATCTTCATAATTCCTATATTGAGTGTATCTTGCTGTTTGTATACATTAATTTATATTAGGATTACGCCATATATGATAAATAGTTAAACATGCATAGGACTATTAACGATCCAGCATGTTGTAGTACATCATCAATGGTTTGCATTCTGTGAAATGTTCACAAAATAAATGGTAATTTGTAAGTAGGCCGGGTAGATTATACTCTTTCAGTGGTCGGTACTTTCAACGAATAGTTTTATTTTAATAGTAAAATAATTTAGTTAACAAATATAGTGTTTAGGCGGAATTTATGAATAATAGAGATAATTTAACTCATTTATCGAATACAGACTTATATGATCAACTTTAAGGTATACTGTTTGTATAAAGGTCAATACCATTATTTAGATGTCGAAATCTAATTAGGTGAGGAAGGGTTCGAACCTACAACCTATTGTGATTGAAAGTCAAGTATTTTGATTACTAAGCTGCCAAAAACTAGATGTGGTTTTAGTCATTCATTAATAAGAAATAGCATTATAGGTTTTAGGTTTCATGCACATTAATTGTAATTACGGATTAATTAAATTTATTTTTAAATAATAAAATTTCAGATTCTGGTCTTGAAGTAGATGAAAGTCAGTTACTCTCAGATTATCATGAATTCTACCATGATGTTCGTATGGAATTAGAATCTAGATGGGGCAAAATTTCAGTTATTCGAACATGTCGCAATTTAGCTGATCATCTTCGTGGTGCAGTTTATGTTGAATTCTCAAGGGGTCCAAGTGCAGCATGGGATGCTGCTGAAGCTTGCAATGGTCGTTGGTTTGCTGGACGTCAACTAACGTGTACTGTGGTTAGATTGGGCGGTGGTTGGAGAGAGGCTATCTGTGGTGGGTTGAACAGTGTCCTTTTCCATATTCTTTCATATACCTATTTTATTATCATGCTAAGTATAGAATTCCTTCCAAGATTATGATCAAGCAGGTAAATAATACTTGAAGTTCTCGATATCAAAATACAGGATTTTTTAGAATTGGTACTATTGAGGAAAACAACTTAACCAGTAAGTTTAGGCAGCACAAGAACACCAAGGTTTGCAGAATAAAATGAGTTTATTCCTTCAAGTTGCAAACGACTTCTGGTTAAAATGCTATTTTATGAAAATAGGGTGCTTTGTCCAAACAACAGAATAAATGACAAATTAGCGTTCATTTAAAAGAACCTCAAGAAAAATGGATACTTAAAGAAATTTATTGCAAAATATAGAAAGGGTCACCGTAAAGACAGTAAAAACCTATCTTAACGTTCTTTGATACTATATTTTATATTCTGCACTTTTTATAAATCTCAGTTCCCTTTCAAAAACATCTAAACTTTTGTTTACAATCATACTACACCTTGCAAATTTAGCCTGTTTGGAATTCAGATGATAAGTTGTGAAATAAAATGAATTCATTTTATTTTGCTGACTTTGTTGTTCTTGCACTGTCCAAATTTATCAAGCAAGGGGCTGGTTGTATGAAAATAACCAATGAAGTTAACTAACCGCAAAATGTGTGGTGTCCAGATACCGTTTACGCATTCAGGAATACAGTCAAAAGTGAGGTTTGTCCTCCAAAGGACGAAATTACGACACGTACTATTAATTAGAGAACAACACACATGTACTAGGAATTAACTAAATAAACCAAACATATTCAGGGTAGGTGGGCTATTTAGTGTAAATAGTTTCAGTGTGTAAGATATGTGCTTACTGATGCCTGTTACTCCTCGTGGGGTATAGGCTTCTAATTAGGGATGTCTAGCCTACTCTATCCTTGGCTCTTTTCTCCAGTTGTCGCCAAGTGCTATTCATTCTTTTGGTGTCTGCCTCCGACTTTCGGCGCCACATTTTCTTTAGCCTATCTCCTCTTTTGTCCTGAAGATTCCAAATTACGGCTTGGCTTGTGATGGAGCTTGATGATTTCCATGTAGCGGGGTTTATCCATTTCCAGTGTCATTTCGTAATTTCCCCTTCAGCTGGAAGCTGGTATGTTCTTTGCTACAGTACGTTATTGCTGATAGTGTCTGGTCAACGGATCTGAAGTATCTTGCGTAAACAACTGTTTATAAACACCTGTACATTAGTATGATGGTTGTAGTGGCTCTTCAGGTTTCAGGAAAGCAACTCAAGTACGAGTGAGAAAATAAATCGAAACACTGGATAAATATAATTATACTAACTTTAGTGACTAGCAGCTCGTCATCGGCTTTCAAAAATAGATGGTAGTAACATGAACTACTGAAGATTATTAAGTATTATAATAATGCACAAAGAAGGACAAGGGGGGAAGACATGTATGCTACATATTTGACACTGAGAGTAATTATCCTAGAAATTAATTTATCTCATTAGGTTTTTATTGATTTTATCGTAAATATTTGAGTAGTTGACTTCATTTTGTGCATGAAATAAACTTCTGTCATACAACTGGATTATAAGTTACTGATTTGTACTAGACCATCGACATTGTTTTTATGGCTACTGATTGACTTCGCACTGTTATTAATTAAATACTTGTGTAACTAAATTCTTTTTCAAGATCTCCGTATATTTGGTCTTAACAATTGAAAATAGTTCAAAGTCGTGTAGTTTATGCTTGTTGTTGCTCAACCAGTTATTCTATACTTCATAATCATTTCAGAGTAAGAAGAGCAAATGTTGGCATCTAATTGTAATGATCGTAACTTTGGATCAACTGTTGCGTTAACACATACATATTAGGTTTGTGTAATGTCTAGTACTATCAATCGAGAGAAATCTGCCCAACATTTTCCCCTAGTTTCTATCTGTATACAATCAGATATTGGGGTGTTAATCATTCGTTTCGTGAAGTGTTGTTTATAACAAAATTGTAGTATCACCTTTTGATAGTTTCATTTCTCCGTTTATATCATAACAGCAAAACCTATCCTCTCCATTCAGTAATAAATATCAGTCTTATCTTTACTTATTTGTTCAGGTCTTTATCATCGAGGTAAATGTCCTAAAGGAGACCTCCATTGTAATTTTCTACATGTATTTCTTAACCCTGGAGAAACCAGTAATGATTTACAAAAAACTTTATGGCGTCATGTAGGTCGACTTATTAGTCCGGTGGATAATAATGGTCACAGTGATCGTGGACGTTCTTCTACAGTAAAGTAAGCTTATTTTTGAATGATTACTAGTTAATATGGTCCAACTTTACATTTATTTGTCACGAAGTCATAATACTTTTTGAAAATTCCTTATTTCTCAAAAATGATCAAAATATGGAATTTGCTATAGCCATATTGCTCACTCCCAATCCAACAATAAATAATTTTTATAAATAGTCGTTTAATTTCCACTGTAAATATTATCGGTAAGAGTAACTATAAGAAAGTGCATTCGGTGCTTATTTATTTTAATTTACGTGTTAATTGCTTGTGGTCAATATTGATAAGTGAATCGATATACATCATGTTCTAAGCTTATGAAAATTGGTGTTAATACTGTTATGCTTTCTAATCATTATATCAGACATATCTATTCTGTATGTGAAATATCGGTATTTGATCGACGGTAAATTCTGTTTACACAAGTTTGAATATTCTTCTAATATAACCCAACTGATGGTAATTCGAATAGACCAGATGTCTAATTGTTGGGGACGATAGATCCCCAAAACTCAAATTTTGTAATTTACATATCGATTAAATGTGCAGATAGGTCAATTGATGAACTGTCGATTAAATGTACAAATATGTCAATTGATGAACTATCGATTAAATGTTCAAATAGCAATCAATTGTTGATTAATGTTCAAAAATCTTCCATGACAATATCGATTGTAAATATTTGTATAAATACGCTTGACTTGTATGCTTGATCTGATCTGCCTGACTTGTTATTTGCTGTTTGTCTGTAGAATACACTTTCTACACCTTACCCAGACTTTTTGATCGAGTTAGCAGAGTTGGGGACAACGGACCAGAATAGACTATCGAGATTCTGAATCCTTGATCCGATCGATAAGTCACTGTCATATAATCGGCTGTCTCTTTGAGGCATAACAATTGGCGACGGGGATGGGATTCTGGTACCACTACTCTATCTCCAAACATCAAGCATTCGTTTACGACGCATAATGAGTCCCGACGATGGTAAAGCTGTTTCAAGTCACCATCGAGTCCAGTCGGTGGCCAGCCATTTGTGACGTATTTCATCGCTCTCTTTATGATGGAGTCGTTCTTGGATGCAGATTGTATTTCAGCTGCTGAGACTGGCAAAGCACGAATAGCAGTTGTCAGGTAGCACTGCGCGTAGTCCTCTGTCATCAGGGAGGCAATAACTGTATCTTCGCCGGCCGTATGGTGTTCGCTGATAAGTCGTGATAAGGCATCCGCCTGACCAAATTGTTGAGTGCGTCGGTACTGGATTTCGAAATCATACCCCAAGAGTGCTAAGGCCCATCTCTGAAGGCGATTTGCTGAATGAGCTGGAATGCCAGATTTCGACCCGAATATTGCGAGTAAAGGCTTGTGATCTGTGAGAAGCGTGAATCTCCGACCGTACAGGAACTTGTGGAAACGGCGCACAGCAAACACAAGTGCAAGCGCTTCTTTTTCTATCTGGCTGTATTTTTTTTCTGCTGGGGTTAGTGTACGGGCTGCATGCATAATGGCTTTTTCCGACGCATCAGGAAACTGATGGGAGATTACAGCGCCTAGGCCATGCGCTGAAGCGTCTGCAGCTACGATGATCGGCATGGCTGGATCGTAGTGTGTCAACAGCAATTCCGAACTAATAATGGACTTCAGTTTACAAAAGGCAGCGTCACATTGTTTAGTCCAGTTCCAAGAGCTGTTCTTCTGCAGTAAGCTATTGAGTGGAGCGCGAATATCATGCATCGATGGAACGAACGCTGAGTAATAGCTGACAAGTCCCAGGAAGGAACGTAGTGATGAGACATTAGTAGGAGTTGGCATCAGTTTGATAGCTCGGATATTCTCAGGATCCGGCCTGCGGCCGTCGGCATCGAAAATGAACCCCAAGTACTTTACCGACTGCAAATGAAACTGGCATTTCTCTGGGCGTAACCGGAACCCGTTGTCACTGATGCGTTGCAGTACCAATGTCGTGCGTTCTCGTAGTTGTTCTAATGTCGTTGCTACAATTAAAATGTCATCCAAATAAGCCGCGACTCCCGAGATACCTGATAGGATGGTATCCATTAATTGTTGGAAAATAGATGGTGCAGTTTTGACTCCGAAAGGTAGACGGTTATACTGGAATAAACCACGATGAGTATTGATAGTTAACAGCTCTCTTGATGCTTCGTCTACTTCCACTTGCAAATAAGCATCAGCTAGATCCAGCTTAGCGAAAAATCTTCCCCCATTCAGCATGGTAAATAGGTCTGCGGGAACAGGCAAGGGATAATGATGTTGTTCCAGAGCTGTGTTGAGACCTGTTGAAAAGTCAGCACATATACGTATCGTGCCGTTGGCCTTCTTAATAACCACGATAGGTGCTGTCCATGCAGAGTAGGAAACGGGAGTGATAACTCCTTGTTGTTGAAGGCGGTTCAATTCTTCATCTACTGTTTGTAATGTTGCATAAGGGACAGGTCTCTTTGGGCGAAAAACAGGCTTAGCCCCAGTTTTCAATCGAAGTGTTGCTTTCATGACAGAACAGCGACCCAATCCAGGTTGGAAAATGGTTGAAAACTCCGTCATTAGTTCTTTCGAATATGCTTCAGGTTCATGAGGTTGTTTCACCAGATGGCATACGGTGCTTAAAGGAACGTCAGCTAAATGTAGCTGGTCAAACCAGTCTAACCCAAGTAGATTAAGATCAGCTGGTGTGATGTAACATACACCGGTAAACGTTGAATCGTGAAAAGACACTTTACAATCTAGTTGTCCCAACAAACGTAGGTAATTACCGCATGCAGTTCGAGGTTTTTGTGTTGTTGGAACCATGCGTGGTCTTCCCATTCTGATCCAATATTTTCGTGAGAGAATTGTTACATCAGATGCAGTGTCTATTTGCAATCTAAATGAATGCCCATTAATGTTAACAGTAATAAATTTTCTCTGACACGGTGATGAGCTTTGACACGAAGATACTAAGCTCAAACTCCATTATCCCCGAAACAGCATGTGCAGACGGTGACTTATCCAGCTCACAAACACACTCCCTGGTAAATGCTCATAGAATTGTTGCAATAACCACCCATGAAACAGAAAACAAATCGAGCAGTACACTGAATACAACTTCTTCAAATGGTTCTCATCAGTCTGCGACAGATGTTTTTGACAAATCTTATTATCAAGATTCTCTTTTACCAGAAAATATGTCAGATGCATCAAATGATGATCAAAAACTTAATACAATTTTGATAGATGCTTATTACCTTGATGACCGATTATCTACAAATAAGATTCCAAATAAATTTGGTCACAATATTTCAGAAGAATTAAACTTCGAACACCTCATATCAAGTGTCGTTCAGCCTCAAGACTTAGTCGCTTTCAGTCAATTCTCTGTTCAGTGCGATAAATATGTCTTAAATAAATTCAAGTTAATTATAACGTGGGCATATGAGGATCCAACACTGTTTCGTGGGGGAGGATGGACCTGGAAAACTTAAAATCCGGATATCAACTCCGGATCTTCTAAAAAGGGGAGGAGTGTTGGGGACGATAGATCCCCAAAATTCAAATTTTGTAATTTACATATCGATTAAATGTGCAGATAGGTCAATTGATGAACTATCGATTAAATGCACAAATATGTCAATTGATGAACTATCGATTAAATGTTCAAATAGCAGTCAATTGTTGATTAATGTTCAAAAATCTTCCATGACAATATCGATTGTAAATATTTGTATAAATACGCTTGACTTGTATGCTTGATCTGATCTGCCTGCCTGACTTGTTATCTGCTGTTTGTCTGTAGAATACACTTTCTACACCTTACCCAGACTTTTTGATCGAGTTAGCAGAGTTGGGGACAACGGACCAGAATAGACTATCGAGATTCTGAATCCTTGATCCGATCGATAAGTCACTGTCATATAATCGGCTGTCTCTTTGAGGCATAACACTAATACATAACAACGCCTCAACGTTGATAATCCACATGGCTAGTATAGAAGACAGTGTGGTATGTGCCACTGATGTCGACAGAGATAACTAGTATGTATCACCAATCGAAAGTGGAATACCTAGAGGCATAAAGTTGAGAAAAGAGAAGAGAACGAGAACAATGAGTGATTGGAAACGAACGAATAGCAAAGTATGAGACAATTGATAGATATTTTGCAAATGAAGTATTTACTATACGGTTCTCAGATTTTACTAGGATATTCTGTAACGTCGTATTGAAATTCATTTGGCTATCCTCACTGGTGTTCTCGTTCGCTACAACGAGATTTTCAGGGTAAATTTATGTTCCATAAAAAAGTCAAGGTGAGATCATAATTTTTGGACGACCTTTGGGCAGTGCCAAAGTGACCTTGAGAATATCCACCCACTAACTAGAGATAAATGAGGGTTATAAAGCAGTGTGAAGAATAAGGATTATGATTTATAGTTGATGGTACGGGTTAGCATTTAGATTTATGCCGAAACGCTATTAGGGATTAGTCCGTTTGATAAGTTTCGACAGTGTAATAAGAAGACGAAGATTATCAGAACTATGTGATATATTAGCGCAATACATTTCTAACAATTTGATCACACGTATACTTGTTAAGGACATTTATATATAAAAATAGAAGGTCAACTAGACTAGAAATGAAGGGTAAGAGGAGACAAGGATAATAAAGAAATAATGTGAAAACATCTTGAAGCCTCATCACTCTGAATAAAAAGCTAATATTATCATTATCTCCTCTTACCCTTCATTTCTAGTCTAGTTGACCTTTTATTTTTCTATATAAATGTTCTTAACAAGTATATATGCGATCAGATTGTTCGAAATGTATTGCGCTAATATGTCACAGTCCTGATAATCTTCGTCTTCTTATTACGCTGTCAAAATTACTTGATTTGTTGTTGACACTTATGGGGAATTTTTTGTTTAGGTGGATTTAAACGTGGTGTAATGGAGGACGTGAAATTTCAATGCTATTAAGTGTTAAGTATCTTTGTGAATTGTCAAGCTGTTACCAATTATTAACTGGAGATATCAAGCACTTTTCATTCAACTTATAATTTCTGTTTACTTTTCTGCATTTTAGATCACTTTCTAACGACTCTTCATCTTTTACCCATCGTCATCACCACCATCATGATCGACGTAAAACGCGAAGACAATCCTCTAGCTCAATCTCTTCACATTCACGGTCCTCTTCTCCAATAGGGCATCATCATTCATCTCGGTCTAAAAATAATTATAAAAATTCCCGTCTATCTGAATATCACAGTCATAGAAAATCTAAAAGAAATAAGCATTATAGTAGTGGTAGCAGGAGATCTTTGAGTCGTTCACCTTCAACATCATCAGTTCATAGGAAGCACAAAAAACATATGAAAGAAAAATCTCACAAGAGAATGAAAAGAGTCAAGTAACAATAATAAAGTATCTGTTTCATGTATACTCATCAACGGAACCATCATTTGTTCGCTTGTATTTGTATTTCTTCAAATCAGTATTGGGCTTTCATTGTCGATATGATAACATCCAGTAGTAATAATAGCAATAGTAGTAAACTGACAATAAGAATCCTGTATACTCTATTTTGTTTATAATTATCAATTGCTTTTCTACTCAATTTAAATATACTCTTATTATTAATATTATTCTCGTGCATTTTCTTTGTAAATAGTATTTTGTACTGAATTTATAGTGTTTGTATATGCTGGTCATATTCCTGGTACTAATCCACACCTTATGGTTAATAAATACTTAAAATTTCAATAAAAACTCTAAAACAATTGTTTATTTTTAATATTTCATTTATTTCAGTCATTTCCTTGTTTTGTTCAGTGCTCAAACTGTTTTGATTCGACATGTTTGTGAATGTGTGTGTGTATTGGTTATATTCTCCACTCATCTATGGTACCGCTAAATCGTATTTACAAATCATTCTATTTATTACTTTCATGAATGAATATCATTTAGACATTGTGAAAGTGTTAGAGAAAGACTTCGATTTATTTGTATGTTGAGCAAAAAGTCATCATTTCTTTCTTAATAATCTGCATATTATTTCTTTTATTATTCGGAATGTAATACTTTTGAGATTGACAATCGAATTACTATGATAAATTATAATATGGACCGCCGTCTGTAGTTTTTCTTTCTTTAACCTTGATGATAAATTCTAAGGGCACGTGCGGTATCCGAAATCTGATACTGATACACGGTATGCTACGCACTAACCCCCCAACTGACTGCTTGATCGAAAAAGTGCATTGTTCATTAATGAATGGGCAGGTACGAATGTTATTGTTGATTATGACATGTTAATTGCTTTTATTATCTCAAGTTGTTGATTTATCAGTTAATGCATCTACCCATCGATTTATCCTTACCGCCTTTTCTAGAGCCAGAAGAACGAACTAGGCTGATACGAAACTCTGCCCTGCTTCAAACTTGATTTAATTATTGCTATTAAATGGAATGATAGAAGGTTAGATCCTCATTCATAACGAATAACTGGACAACAGTATGGGATTTCGAATTTTCAACTAAATCAGTTGGTTCTATCATTTTTATCAACCATGTAGTGCCTATAATTTCAAAAATATTGAAGCATAGCTGTATAAAACTTAGACACGCACTGATTTCCATTCATGTTTTAGTTCTTTAGAACATTTCTGATTTTCTTAAGCAGCTATCTTCTCTCTGATTCGGATTTTAAAATCGTAACTACGGTCATTTGTGATTACATTTGAAGTGGTTTGGATTATCCTGTTGATATTTTGACTGACATTTGACCAGTCTTAATTGGCACATGTGCATTCTGTGCTATAGTGACACAAGTTAATATAGAGTAGATGCAATGTGACTAGGAATAGGATCCAGGATGCGTTTTTGCCTTATTTTTTACTCGTCAAATGAGTATACTTGTATCCCAAAGTTGATGTCCCGGGACTCGAATTCAACTTTGAGATGCAGGTACATTCATCTAACAGTTCCCAACTAGAATGACACACTCTTTCTAGATTGCACTGATAGCCACATTTCGTCTTTTATATATTAAATTATTTCTGAGTTGTTTAACTTAAACCAGTTGGTTGAAATTCTCGTTGCCTGTTAGGTGACAAAAATTTTCAAAAGAAACTAGGTCACCTTTCAAGATCGTGTTTAGTTTATCAATATAAGAAAGGTTGCACTCATAATTTGCAGAAAACACAAAACGATGGATGATTCAGTCTACTGTTTAGTTTTATTTTTCACAACTAACAAGTCTATTAAGCAAATTAATATTTTCGTAAGCTTATACTATTTTCTTTTTAATAATCTATGTGGAAGGAAGAAAACTGGTTGTAACAAATTTGTACGATTGTTGATATATTAGTAAAAAGCCAATCGACATTGGACGGATCACCACCCGAAATTATCATTAATAAATTTGAACTGTGGTACAAGGCAACTAACAGAATGCTTGGCATTTTCGATGCTACAAAGAACGAGCTATGTCTAGAAAAGAATAGTTGGGTGAAATAGGAAAAGTTAAAAGGAATGTATAAAAAACAGCTAAGGCTGCATTTTTTCGTAATAAAATAGCTTGAATGGCTGTGTTATCTGTTCTTACAAAATATGAGTTTGATCAACTCTCATTGCCAGCTGTTGAGCAAAATAATCGCTGTAGCTTGTGATTAGTATCAACCAACATCGACTTTTAATTTCAATAAGAAAAGTCATAAACATCACAGCGCGTTTATCCAAGTTGATAAGTTTGTAACAACATGCAATCAGCAAACCTGTTAACGACTAATTATGTGTCGATTGAGAAACTTAGGTATATTTATCGTAAACAATTTTGATTTCCGAAGATTCGTCTCGAGCAACTACAAAATGACAGTTGCAGTGATCAAAAACCTACTGAGATTATGCAAAACACGAATTTGACTCGGTAATGAATAATAGTCTTAATTCGTAAACACCTATCCTTTCATGTATATGTGGTCAGTTAATATGACTTTTAGATTACTGATGTTTGTAAACATTATTCAGTATAAGTATTTTCCTGATCCTTTATTGTTTGTCTAGCTGCTTATTAATAATCATATGTACTAATTTATTGACTATCTATGTGTATTAGTGTAATATTATTAATGGCATATCTTTTCTGTTTTATTATTCTAATTAGGCTAAAGAGAATTGTACGGAAATGCTTAATGAAACACGATCTGCTATGATTCTTCCAGCTGCTCGTATTTTGAAGCAAAAACCCAGTATTTGGTATGTATCTTTATATTCAACTAGACATTTGAAATGTTCTTTGGTTTAAAAAGAAACTCGTTAACTTTCACCAACTTGTTCATATTCTTAATATTTGATCGAGTTTTGATAATTGCAATAAAAGTGTGCAAATACAAGAGTGTATTCTGTGTTAGCTAATTTAAACTTATGAACCTGGATTTAAAGCTTTGAGCATTCACTATTAAGATGTATATGAATTGATTACTTTGTAGTGACTAACGTTATGCTTGCCTAATTTTTAATGCTGAGTGAACTCGATCGACCAAAATTTGCGATGTGCGCACTGATCTTAGTGACTCGTGGTTGCTCACAATGTATTGAGATATTAAGTGGTTGGAGATATTTAAGAGGAAATCCTGGACATAGGTTTAGCGTTAGTTGTAACTTGTCAGCATGGTGTATTTGGAGTCTTTAGAAAACTAATGCATGTTTCAAAGCTAAAACAATTGCATTTATTCCGCGTTTTGTCGGTTTATTTCAACCACAATTATTTGTTTTTTTTATCTACTTGTGTCTTGGATGTTCATTTCATTTCGTTTCGTTTCTTTTCATTGAATCCAACGATACGCTGGGAGCTATACGTCTAGAAGATGTCTATGTTTCTATTGACTTATACGTTCTATCTGCTTGTCTCTGCTTCTCAGTTATTCATCAAGAACATATGATTTGGTGCAAATGTCTGTCAGTTCATATATCCTCACTTAACAGCAAAGGAAAATCAATAGAATGATAAACGATAAAGTTTAAATTGTAATTCTAATGATAGCGAAAACTGAACAAAGGAATTCTGGTTTAGAAAGAACATATGAAATTTAAAAATGAAAAATATGAACTACTCGTCTTGGAAACAAATCCTATTGTTGTATTACAGTCGATATAAATTCATGCCATCCGTGAATTCCAGACATTGATTACAATTATTTCAAACCCTAACCAGAACGTCTATAGCTCTTGATATGATTTGTTTCAATAATCATTTCACGAGGTAATGCTGTGGTTTCATCTTACTATTTATAACCTAACCTATTATGCTGGTCCATCATTACCTCTCAGGTTAGGCCTTTACTTTAACTCAGAAGTTGATCCTAAGTGCACTGCCGCAAGTCAACAGTCCTACACTTCATACTTTCAGAGTACCTCTTTTTCTAGTTATCTATTCACGATGAAACCTTTGCATTTTTTGTACCTATCATTATTGTTTCATTTGCTTGTAATCTAAGTTATATTTTAATCGTTTATTGTAATTGTATTGATTTTTTATTCTTTTGAACAGGGTGGAAATTAATCATGCAGTGGCTAAATACAAACCGGTCAATTTAGGTCAGGTAACTTCTACTGTTAATTGAAAAATGAAACTAATCAGATTTCTTTCAATGTAAAATGGTTTCGATTATCCCCTTGTTGATATTTTGACTGTAATTTGATCAGTCTTAGTTGGAATATTTACATCCTGTGCGAATCACCTAGCTATTGTAGCACAATTTAATGTATGGTAAATATAATTTTGCTAGCGGTGGAATCCAGAATGCATGTTTCGTCCTATTCGGGACTCATCAGGTAGATATACTTGCATCCCAGGGTTTGTGCTCATTCCGAGACCGGGTTTCGTAAGTCAGTGGCTATCTGAACTCAGTAGTCAAGTGAATAATGCTATAGCGTTCGAAGTGAACGGTACTGGGTTCGAGTCCCAGGATGCAAGTACATCTAGCTGACGAATCAAATATTGGACGAAACACATCCTTTATTCCACTGTTAGCCAGATCTCATCTATTGTATGTCAAATTATTAATATCTTTGTATGAAATACACATATTTTTCGATAAAGCCAGCTATGTAACATTCTTAGAATGATTTTCAATGTTGTGATGTTTAGATTTAACGCTTAATGTGTACACATTCTAGCAGTGCTGTTACGTTTCTTCCTCTCCCTTTACTGTTTTAGTTTTCTTTCATAGACGATTTTGTGTTACTTTTCGGTCAACATGATATGCGGAGGTAGTAAACTAATAGCCAACCAACCGCCAACTTTGAAATGCTATTACTGAATATACCCCTTATCCTTAAGTGATCTTGGTATATATATAACGTAAACACTTGATTCTAATTCCTGTTCTGAAGCAATAATTTGATCGTAATT